GAATAAATGAATTAAATAAATAAATAAACTGGCTGCTTTATTTTTGGTTCAGTTCTGGATCATTTTGTTGAATATTTTAAATAGTCGGTTCTAAAGATAACAAAGATTTATCAGCTAAAAATTTGGCAGATCATCATTTGAAGGGTGACACATTACTGATGTGTGTCAGGTCTTTGCTGGATTTTATCCCCTTTACTAGACATGATTTGCAGACACTGTTAATCTGCTATACATCTGATTTTGATTATTTTTGGCCTGATGCATCTATTTTTTGTCTACTTGTTATTGATCATTTAAGGATCAGATTGATTTAAAAAATGTGAAAAATCAGCCAAAGTTAAAGAAAAACTTTAAAAATGTAATAGAAAACATGAGACATTAACCCAGACCAATTTCAAAAGATTGCACTTTTAGCATGTTAGAAACAAAGTAGGGACACATGAGACATGATTTTAAATTTTTGCACGTTATTACATATATGTTTACCACCTATTTATTATTTATCATTGAATCTTCACTCCAAGCTAAAAAAAAAACAAAAAAAAAACAGGAAAATTATGAAACATGAAGCAGAAATGTAAGTGGGGAACAAAACACGCAGTACCACTATCTGACCACTAGTGGGCGGTCAAGTATTTGAGCAGCTCTGAAAACAACAACAGGTTGATTCGTCTTCTTCCCTCTCGGAKTCGACTTCCTGGATACGCGCTGAGCACAACAGCTCTCTAGGATTTGATATTATCTTCTTTAAAACCCYAAATTTTCATTCCATCGTGCTTATTCACGGGCTGAAACTCGTTTTAAAGGACAAATGCTTATTGCTGCGGTGTTACCGATGATAACGTAGCAGGACATCAGGGGCGGAGGGCAGAGAGTAAGTTAACTGTATTTTTCGGTAGTGGCTTAATCTTTGAAACGAGTTGAAAACTATTATTTGTCACTTTAAAACAATGTGTGTGATCAACGAGAAGTTATTTTCGATTAAAAAACATAGGTGAAAATGTGTCAAACGCAGTTGTTCTTCATGTTCCCCATAGAGCGAGAGAGAAAGAGAGAGAGAGCGCCACGTCATTGATCGAGCGAGGCAGAAAAATCAACGCGCAGCTCGTCCCCCCCGCTGTGGACGCAGAGATTAGACGGTGACCGGTCCTCCAGTGGGCTTCAAAGTGCAGCTGCCCCTGCCTTGTGCTTTATTTTTGTCGGTAAATTACCCGTCTCGCAAGAGGCGCCACACAGCAACCAAAAATGACGACGTCTAACTGGGGCCTGATCATGAATGTGGTGAACAGCATCGTTGGAGTCAGTGTGCTCACCATGCCTTTCTGCTTCAAACAGGTGGGACGAGGTTCACACACTTTTATCCTAAAGCAACACCCTCTTTCCAGACTTTTTTACTTATGCATATACATTTCCTGTCGTCTGGCACGTGAATTCCAGGTCATTCAAGGTAACCTGCATGTGTTGGTGACACAACGATGCAAGGTGCTGACATGACAATTTAAAAGAAAGTAATGTGTAAAATCACCCTGGTGCTACTTTGAGTTTATTCTGAACTTTGAACTTTTTTTTTTTTTTAGAATGAAGGGAAATAATCTGGAAACAAATGTTATTGTATGCTTTTGTATTTCCATAATTTTCTATACC